AGAGTTATCGCTCAATCTCATTTGATTCAGGTGTGGGTTAAAACGTTTGTGAACTAATCAAGACAGTTTCAGGTAACGTGAGAAAATAGAGAATGGTTAGTTTTAATAATTGTATAAGAATAAGTGTGTGCTATGGAATTTCTATCATTCGTTATACGAATTTTCATTATGTGAATTAGCTGCCCACCTCATCAATTCATCGTAAACAATCGAAATTCGAAACCGTGAGTTGTTCTAGTCGGAGTAGTAAAAACTCCTTACATTTAAAGATGGATACAAAATGGATAACAAAATGGTAATTTCATTATTTTAATTATATAATGCCCAAGTTAAATGCTCACCCTCATAAAATCTGTTTTGGTAGCAAAAAAAATCTAAAGAAACGGGCCTTTTGCATAGTTCACGTTCAAAAGTGCATGTTACCTTTAACTCCATCATATCCTTAAACAAATTAAGATTTAAACTCGAGTCTACGTACTTTTTGCGCTGATAATGGTGCTAAGCATGCATTTTCAATGTGCATCTCTATGAATTACCATCTTTTACGGCCTGATGATGGCTTTTAGCCGAAACATGTCGCAGTTCACATAAATTCAATTACAATTTTATGGGGAAGGTCTTGTAAATAAAATTTTTTCAACTTCGGTTAACATTAACTCGGACTATATTTTCCTGTGAAAAAAATCGAAAAAACACAATGCAAAGTAATTTTTTTAACAAATATTACATTTTTGTCGGAAAAACTAGATGCCCTTATGATATTGCATGCGAAAAATGGGCAGAAAATGGAATCGGAAACGCTGCAAGAAAGCTGACTACATTGCCGAGTCTGCCATTTCATTTAAAAATGTTTCTGAATTGTTGTACTATTTATTTTTGATTGTCTATAAATAAACTCAACTTATGCCTTTTAATTAGAGAGATAATATGGTTCTAGTTTCCCACCCACAAATACCTACCCGCAATCACGTGGAGGTCATTCTCTAATGAAAACGGCGTACCTGAAGAAATGACAGTGAACGATATCTACGGTATTCCGATACTATTTGTTGCAGAAGTTAAAAATATATTGCAGGGATACCTATATTTGCAGCCACTAAAAATGAAAAAAGCCACACCAGTATTTTCTATTTAAAAAATATGTACTTATATGACGCATCCCCGGTAAATCACATACAAGCTTCTTTAATTAGGGTGTGGTTGAATAAAAAGTGTTTTAACGTTCATTAACAAAATTTTATACCGATGTTAATGAGGTGGCCAATTGCATAACTCAATTAGTAGGTATAATTAGTTGATTTCCGGACTAGGTACAAAAAGTCTACCATATTATGTAAAGTTATAGATAGAAGCTTACAATAATAAATTTTGTGCATATTTACTGCGCAGTAAATTGATATAAAAGAAAACAGAATTGTACAAAGGTGTAGGAGTCGTTACACATTATTCAATTTATTTCAATTAGCGCTTTTAGTGGGAGAGATAAAGTGCGTCCTCGATGTTATTGCCGAGATTCTCCTTTTTATCTACCAATGCTACCGAAAGGTATTCTATTTCACTTACGTGAGAAATCTCTAGCCGATAGGCACTCAGAAACACACAATTGTAAAATAACAACACATAACACGTACGGGCCCATGTTTTACTACAATTTCGTACACTACTCGTTCAGCCGTTCAGACTAGAATAACGTCACGGTTAGCACAATTTTGCGAAAGTTTGTGCATTTATATTGAAACTACCGGTCTTTATTAACTTTTCAAAACAAGTTAAAATTTAATTCCATTTCCCGAATTAAGTTATTAAACCATCAATCATGTAATAAAAATGCTCATTATGAAAACCTTCTAATGGTGTTTGACCTAACCAAAACGAATGCCATAATTAATATTCAAGAACTAAAGAAAAACTTTTATAGTTAATAATAATAATATTGTTTCTTGCATTACAGAATCGTAAATAAAATATAACATTCGCCTATTGAGCGTCCCCCACCCTGCCTAATCAAAAATACTCTGACTTAACATACCATAACAATGTTGCAGAACAAACAATAGTGGGAATATACAAATATAAAAATCAAACAGTAATATCACTGATACATGTAAAGCGTATATCTGTGGTCATATTAACTAAATTGCAACGAATTAATCAGTAAACCCAAATATAAATATCTACAAAATACAAGTTGAAGGATATACGCAGATCTGCAAACTAAAATTTCCGTTTTGCATATACTTACATAAGTAACACTTTCTTTCCTAATCACGAGAATGATGGGAAATTTCAACACGTTGTTGCACCCATCAATGCAGTTGAGGGACCACAAAGGTTCCTGTTCGTCAAGGCAATGGGGTTTCTCATTTCTCCGACGAAATTTTTATGTTGACCTTATTTCATTCTAAGCATTTTTAACGGGTCGGTCAGTTATTTGCAAGGTTCATCGAATAAGTGCTTACAATCCATTTTTTTTTTCATAAAACTTTCCCATAGCTGTTATTGAGAGGCAGTACTTGTTCCTTATTGTGGGAGATCTTCGTTAAAATTGGAATATTCCACACTGCTGGGTTACACAATTTACAGTATATAGTTGAGCAATATACACTATAGTTAATAATAATAGTTAATCCGTGGCAGTGTATAACTGTCAGCAAGATGACAATGACCTATTCGTAGACCGGTGAGTGTAGCTTATGGTTCTTGTCTAATTAGTCCTACAGGGTACCGCCCCTTCCCTTCCGTTCGTATTGATTTCACTTTACTATCCCTTTTAGAAAGATTCCAAGTTCCTTTGTACACCTTGTACAATAATGTACATGTCGTCTAAGACCCCAGGAACGTGATCTACTTCCGTATGGTTGCCAGCCAGACGAACTTCCGAAATCCGCTGTTTCATGCCCCACAATTCCTACCTACATATATGGCTAGGTTTTGTTCCTCGGCATTAAGTTGGTGTATTAATGTATATTTAGGTTTGATAGACCATTGTTTCCTGTTTTTTATCATAATTGCGTCTATAAAACTTCACCTCACCTTACTGGGGTTTTATTATTAGCCGAAAGAAAGATTCGTCGCTTTTCTCAAAAGAGATATCGTATAATGCAGAGGTTTTGAACCTTTTAGACACTGCGACTCCCTTTTGAGATTTGAGTATTTTGCCGATCCCCCTAGAATTATAATTTTTTTAAATATATAATAAAAACATCTACAATGGTTGATTCCAAACGAGTTCAAGTATTGCATTAGATGAGTTGAACAAAGTAATGTACAATGTTTTTGTTTCTTAAATAAATTACTGCAACAATAATTGTTTTTGATTTTTCATTTGCATTTCGCGACCCCCTCGAACACATTCTGAGACCCCCCTGAGATTCGCAACCCCCAGCTTGAGATCCACTGGTACAACGGACTGTGTCTAATCGCTTGTCTCATATTTCAGTAAGAGTTAGCAGTTTTCTGTTTTGGTTGATTAGTCATCGCCGATGAGAAAATAAGGCGGATGTGAGACATTCTTTCATGTAAATATGAAGTTTTTATTATAGACTTTTTTGACACTGCTCGCATTCTGAAATGGGTCTTTTAATCTGAGTCATATTTAATAGCACTGATACTTAAATTCATAGAAATCGATTGGTGAAGGTTTGACGTAGTGTTTTTATTCGTTCTTAAGTTAAACGACGAACAGACGGACAGACGGACAAAGCCATCAAATAGAGGGAATCTTTTCAAAAAATTCTTTTAAAAATTAAACATGATATACGCATCGTTTTCGAAGGGTAGGTAACGAATGCGAGACTTAAAATGGAAGTACCATCAATGCATTTTGCACTAAATAGTAACTACACAATGAACGTCCAAATGAGTATTGTAAATAAAGAATGTATAAAAGAACCAGAAATATTTTTTATTATTGTTTTCTTAAGCGATCGATTTCGTTTTTTTTATATGTATACCCATCATCAGGCTATGCCAAAAATTACATGCTAATGCAGACTACAGAGAATAGATAGTAATTACCGTCAGTGAGATTAAATGCCACCTGAGACATCTGGTTATGCGCCCAATTGCTCTACCTGAATGAAGGCTAGCCATCACGGTTAAACCATGACACATTTTCAAAAAGTGGGGTTGAAGCAACTTATAGTTTAAATGTTTTCTGTCTGTTTTTCTGTCAAGTTTCTATATTAAATTGTGCTCCTAGGTAGGTATGCGATAAAATTCGCCGTAAAAAAATATCTTTGCGCCATTCTTGTTTTGTGGTTATCCTTAAATATATTTGGGAGGGGGGGCAATGAACGTAGCCCCTTATAACATCTATCGGTATCTGAATTCAAATTCACCACCTGAATTAAAGCTAGCACTAACGCGGGGAGGGGAGGGGGCTAACTTCACGTATTCAAAAGTTCTTACCGTTCATTGTACGCTCAAATGCGCCTATACAGAAATCTTTGCGCCATTATAGTTTTTTTAGAAAGTTGTTCCCCCTTCACTTTTTGAAAATTTGTCTTTACTTAGCCATGATGGCGTTAGCTTTCATTCAAGTGGCGTAATGGGGACCATAACCAGATCTTTTTATTAATAACTTAAAACCAATTTGTTTTTATTTTAAGTTAATAGTACTGGCACTTACGTTATTTTGATTTTTAGTTTGATGTACTTAATGTAGCCTGTTTTTGGTAATCGTTGTTGGCTGCTAATCTAATAAATAATAACAAAAATAATAATCAATAATAATATGAAAACAAATCTCTAATGGCCGTTTGCACCGACACATTTAAGCCGAGCTTAGCTTAAGCGTAGCTTAAAATCCATGGCAACGATTATTGAGACAATGGTTGCCATGGATTTTAAGCTACGCTTAAGCTAAGCTTGGCTTAAATGTGTCGGTACAAACAGCCATAAGTGAGGGGGCCAAGTTGCCGGACCCCTACATTCTGCTATATCTACCTGCACGGGAAAGTAAAAGAAGTCGGGCACTATAATATTAATACTCTGGTTTGTACTCTAAACAACATAAAAATATATTAAATTACTTATTAACATTTAGTTGTTTCAGTCCAAATCACTAAGCTTTACCACAGTTCGCATTTATTCTCATTATTCATGTAAGAAGTAGAAGAGCACTGGAAATCTCTAGCAAACTCTTCCATATTCCGCAAGGTACCCAAAACCCTAAATCTCTTCAACGAGCTACTGCTGTGAGCAATTGAATTTTCTATTGATTCCACCGTACCCTTCGCACACCATCTCATGGCAGACGCAATCCAAAACAGCTGCTTCGGCGTATAGTCCACACCGGGCAATCGTTTCTCTGCACCATTTTTACTTAGCCAGTCATTGTACGCTTCGTAAGCAAGTTTGACCCCAGCAATGTCGGCGATGTCTTCATTTTGGGTATTCGACGAGTTTAGCTGAAATGTAACTTTGGATTATTGCTTACAACAATCGTTTGCCATTACGTATTCCCTGACTTCTGGAACAAAGTATTTTCCGTAATGCATGGCTACACACGACAATTTTTCTTTGTAACGTAGCATAGTCTGTGTGGAAATAAAATCGTAGTGCTTCGATATTTTCGGTTTTCCGCAGCTTGGGCCCTCGAACACTGTATGAAACAGTTCGTGACCCATAGCAGAACCAAGGGCACCGAAGTTTAGATAATTGGGTCGATCTTCGTCGAAAATGACTCCTTGTAACATCCCGGCTGGTATGGCTGGAACGATAATGTTTTAAATCACGACTTATAGCTATGGTTAGTGGGTACTTATGGTGTTATCGTTGTCATAATATGAACTTTGTGTGTAGGTAGCGTATGCATCGTTCAACTCCTCGTCTTTAGTAACCGGTTCGTGCAGCAACTTGAATCTGTTATTGGTAGCGTAGTAGTCAGCATTTAGTACAGATGCCAGAAAATTGTCCTCTTCCATGTGGTACTAAAAGTAGTGTTATAGTTTAGTGGCATGCTGTAGTATATAATACCCCTTGGTATCGTTGCTCGATTTTGTCAAAGTGCAACAGATCGGCAGGATACCCTATGTAACTTTTGCTACTAAACAACCTTTCCAAAGCCTTTACGCGAGTTTCCTCATCCATCCACTTCAAATTACTAACCACCTCCTTGAACTCGTTTTTTACGTCTTGAAATATTTCGTATGCACGGTCTTTCGCATGGTTTGAAAAGTGCTTTTCAACGTAAGCCGCTTGCAACGGTAATGAAAATCTAAAACATTCCATTAAACCATCTGAAGCCTTTACAGATTAATTCCTACGTATATCCAACTAATTGCGAACATAACTCGTGGCGGGGTGGCACATTCATCACGTGGTTCTTCTCTAATCGCATTGCTTCGTAGTATTTCATAACCACATCACGTATGTCCCTTGTTAAATACATGCTGTGCTGCAGAATGGCTTCCATGGCAATAAAATTTGCTAAAACCCTACGAAAGAAATTTTTGGAGTGCAATTAATGTGTAAAATACCGTTTTGGCGTACGCCTCAAAGCGTTTTGTAGTCGTATGAAGTAAGGAGAATCGGATACGGTTACAATTTGCTCATATGAGATGTTTGGGGCAGGGAACTGTAATCTGTTAATGTATTCTAACCAAGGAACGTCTCTAAATTTATACTGAAGCTCTGATATTGTAAGAGGGTCGTACTTATCGTCCAAGTCCTTGGTTTCTTCAGGGGTCTAAAATTCCAAGTTGTTCAATGCAATATTACTGGCAAACGACCGTTACTATAAACAATGTCTTCATAAAATCGATGACTTCTCTGTACTCATTTCGAGCGCGATTTTTGTCTACTTCGAAGACTTCGGCGATGTCAACGTACAATTCAAACAGTCGCTCCTCTTCATTGCTATCCGTACGGCTCAGTGAACTCCAAGGACTGTGCAACTGTATATAACAATATAGGAAATAAACTGGAAAATAGAAACGGCCCTTACCATTATAATCCTCTTGGAGGGATCATTTTCATCTGGCTTAATGCGCATAACTATAAAAAACTGAAAGCCGTAACCAAGCTCTCTTAATTTGTAAGTCGCAGTTTTCCAATCGAAGTCCTTTTCCTTCCAATTGGAATTTTCTAGCAGCGGCCATCCACCAATTTGTCGTATCGAATCTTTGATTAAGCGCAACCCTTTCTCCTCGATTGCGGTTAAATTCATGCACGCGCGGTAAAGCCTTTTTGCGTTAGCTATTGACCTTGGATCATCATCTTCTTCCGGCTCCTCGATGATTCCTCGTATGCGATCTTGCACCGTATCCTCCATAAAGGTATTTATCGTTTTTACATAGTCGTCATCCAACTGCACGTTATCCATAAAACCTCCACAAGCAAATTCATAGAAGTCTTCGCATGGGTCAACATCGGGATCCATGTGATCTAATAAGTGATTGGTGACATGAACGCAGCTTGCTGAAAGGCATACGTCTGGGGCACCTGCAAAATTTTCCATATTAGTCGTTAATAACCACTAACTACATGTTACGTTGCGTTATTAATTCTCAAAATAGTTTAACTCTCATTAGATTAGATTAGAGGGAATAATGGGATGAGAGGATGTTCTTAGACAGTGCTTAATATTCATAAAAAAATTAACGTACGTGCTTACTTAAGTAACAAAGTTTAGAAAATTGCCATGTAGAATTATATAAAATGAAAAATGTGACCGGAAAGCTATGATGCATTGCCGCATTAATTGGTACAATTAATGTTACATTATGATGATTTCATACCTACTAATGCATAATGTTATTGTCTATTACGCTTCGCATTTACGTTCTCGTATTGTGCCGGATTTACCTTTACTACAATGAGAAACATTTTAGCGTTGAAGCTACCTGTATAAATTGTCTGATATATGCAATATTCTAATGCATTACATTTGCTGTCTGCCGTTAAGAGTTTGATGATTGAATTTAAACGTGAAACTTATTGCAAGTATACAAATTGATTTGCGTAAGTAATGCAGTAGTCAAACAAATAAAGGTAGCAATTAATGCCTGTAAGGCGTGAATTGTAAATTGCGATTGCATTTGAAACGACCTAAACTGAAATTAAACAAAAATTAGTAAAAGCCATTTGGTTAGGATGGGGTTAACGGTGAGAAAATAGACTCCAGAAAGGTGCTTCCTTTGGTTTTTACGAAGAAAACGGCGCTGCGCTGAATAATTCAAAAATACATTTTCCTTCTCAGTCAAAACAACATGTTTCTACCTAAGGCAACCTTTCTGTAACATTGGAAAAGGGGCTGTAACCTTTTTCTTCGTCGCGCAGTAAAGTAGTTTGAAGTAATTATTGTTACTGATTCGAATTAAATTCCTTTTGCATTGGAGAATGAAGCAATATTTGCAGCTGTGAGTAATTACACTGAATCGTTCATCTCTCTACATCATTGTTTCCTATAGACAGAAGTTGGTCAGTTACCGGGATTTAAATTAAACAGCGAAATTGTGAGATTACGGTTCGACTGATGTTTTCCACAACGCTTTCAGAAGCGAATTAAAGTTTCCTTCTAACCTAATACTTTTTATTACCATTATGTTTGTGCATAATTTTTATTTTTACCATTTCGAAGTTTTGACTGTTGATGACAAAACTTTCTACTCCTTAGCACTGCATTTTAATTTTGTAGATGTAGTGCAACATTGCTACTTCTACTCCGAGAAGGCATGTTTCTGTGCGTAATTCTGCTCTAAAAGACAGTTTTGGCAGTATTTTCTGTTTCGAAAGATTAGTGAACATCGCGCGGTTTCACTAAACATGGCAATAGAGCAAAAGTTATCCACGAAAAAATGGCCCAGGTGTACAACGGTACCATAGAGTAGAAGGATTTCGGGACTTGAAGTCAATATCTCTTCGCACAGTATTGGTGCCTTGAGGTGGTTGTGGAACTTGAGTGTTTGGGTATTCAAGGGAGCATGTAACGTCAGACTCGGCACTCATGACTGTCCCAAGTGAGAATCCAGGCTAAAGACAACAAGTGGGAACGTCCTAGGGTACACTTCAAACTCTACATGATTCCACTGAAGTATGACCGCCCAAGCTGCCAAGGCAAACATACGCTTCACGGTAAAGCAGGATTTTGCCCTTGTTTAAGAACTCTGGGTTGTTAAATCAAAGATTTCTGGCTTGGAGGTACAAAAAGAACCGTTGTTTTTGATACACAACAGGAAAACCCTAGGACATGTATCTATGTTCCTATCCTGTACACTGCCTTTTTTGAGGCCCCAAAAAAATTGTCTCAGAACGACCGGAAAAAAACAATTTCATCGAAAAAGTACGAATTGTTTTGGATTCTACGCACCAAAATTAATTAAAAAAAGTGTTTTCCCGAGAAATTTTGGTGCAGTCGATTTTTGGCAAAAAAGGAAGGTTATACACTGCCTTTTTTGAGGCCCCAAAAAAAAATTGTCTCAGAACGACCGGAAGAAAACATTTTCTTATAGGATGTGGCCTGTAGAATCCATAATTTCAAACAGTTTGAAAATTAGGCTACTAGTTCAAAAGTTACAGCCAGGGTTACAGCCCTTTGAATTTTCTTTCGAAATTGGTTTCTAGTCTATAACTTTTGATTGAGAAGTCTAATCGAAAAAGTACGAATTGTTTTGGATTCTACCCACCAAAATTAATAAGAAAAAGTGTTTTCCCGAGAAATTTTGGTGCAGTCGATTTTTGGCAAAAAAGGAAGGTTTATACACTGCCTTTTTTTGAGCCCCCAACAGAAAATTGTCTCAGAACGCCCGGAAAAAACATTTTCTTATAGAATGTGCCCTGTAGAATCCATAATTTCAAACAGTTTGAAGATTGTGCTACTAGTTCAAAAGTTACAGCCCTTTGAATTTTCTTTCGAAATTGGTTTCCAGTCGATAACTTTTGATTGAGAAGTCTAATCGAAAAAGTACGAATTGTTTTGGATTCTACCCACCAAAATTAATAAGAAAATGTGTTTTCCCAAGAAATTTTGGTGCAGATTGTGCTACTAGTTCAAAAGTTACAGCCCTTTGAATTTTCTTACGAAATTGGTTTCTAGTCTATAACTTTTGATTGAGAAGACTAATCGAAAAAGCACGAATTGTTTTGGATTCTACGCACCAAAATTAATAAGAAAAAGTGTTTTCCTGAGAAATTTTGGTGCAGTCGATTTTTGGCAAAAAAGGAAGGTTATACACTCTCTTTTTTTGAGGCCCAAAAAAATTGTCTCAGAACGATCGGAAAAACATTTTCTTATAGAATGTGCCCTGTAGAACCCATAATTTCAAACAGTTCGAAGATTGGGCCACTAGTTCAAAAGTTACAGCCCTTTGAATTTTCTTTCGAAATTGGTTTCTAGTCTATAACTTTTGATTGAGAAGTCTAATCGAAAAAGTACGAATTGTTTTGAATTCTACGCACCAAAATTAATAAGAAAAAGTGTTTTCCCGAGAAATTTCGGTGCAGTCGATTTTTGGCAAAAACCTGATTCCTATTGAATCTTCTGATGCCACAACTGAGTGGCCTTGATATCACTGCTATACAATTAAATTGTGACATACAGGGTAGACTGAATTAGTAATCGCATCCTCCCAGGAGATCCCCAGACCTATCGTAATCCCAAGTCAATGTCCCTTAAAAACGCTAAATTGTGATATCAGTCATATTCAGTTCAAGAAAAGTAAGATGAAGTTGCATAAAATGGTTTTTTACAACAAAACAGTTCGTTGACAACCTAAACAGACAGCGACGACATAAACAGACAGCACAAAAAAAAATAAAAGGGTTTTATTTCAACCTTGTTATGTACAATTCTCCCTATATAAACCGAAAAAAAAACACCTGCAGTGCTAATTGTTAATTTTGAACGGGAAACGGGTGGCTATACTACATGCTGATGACAATAAATCATTATAAGCCGTAAATAATTACATATAAAGTTAACGTTGTTATACAGATTTGAGTATATCTTCCATATTTATTAATTTTTAATGAATGAACCACGAGAATCCAAAGCTATAAGGAAATCATCTCGTCTATTCGAATATGTTGCCCAATTTTATTTGAAAATCTTTCATTATTTGCGACGTCAAACAGAAACAGTAAATATATAAAAATGTTTATTGTTCCTTGTCTGTTTGCTAAACGACAGGAGAACGCTTTTCACTACCAACGAATCAGTGCTAGACATTGAGATTTAAAAGACCCCTCTACAATGTACACCCTCATAAAGGTCTAACTCAATTAGTGGTTTTAAAGTCAGTTTAAAGCTGTCTGCTTTGTAAGATTCGCACACAAAACAATTAATTTTGTAGTATGGAAACAAAACTTTGCTGTAACCTACTCTCTTAAAATATTGTTATAACACATTCAAGCATAACTTGTTTAAACAACAATTTCGCTTTGACCCCTACATTTATGCACATTTACATAATGCATAATAACAATAATTATAACAATTTAAACCTTTTGCAATGGAATATAAGATCTGTTGCTGCCAATAAACCGAATTTAGAATATATGTTAGCAGAGTGTAACATCCATATAGCCCTTTTAACGGAAACCTGGTACAAAAGTAACCACATAGATTTTTTTAAAAATTACACATTAGTAAGACACGATCGTACGGATGGTTACGGTGGCCCGTGGCGCCGCTATACTTGTACATAGAAATCTTCAATACACTCCGTTGAATATTAAATCTGATAATGCTGAAATTAGTGTGTGTGGGGTCAAGTTGCTAGATCTTGATCTGAATGTAATGTGTTTATATAGGCCGCAGGGTTACGCGAGTAACATAACAGAAGGCGAGTATTTGCACATGTTAGGGCAATTAGGGAAGAGGTACATGGTGGGTGGTGATATGAACGCACACAATAGGGCCTTTGGTTCATCTAAAAACGATAACGCGGGAAATATTCTATTAAAAGTAATAGATGGGACTAATAGCGTGTTTTTGAATGACGGATCAGTTACGCGCCTCGGGCGCCCAAACGAAGCGAGATCTGCAATTGATATTACATTTGCATCGCCAGGGATTGCTACTCATATCACTTGGAAGGTAATGGATGATACATATGGGTCAGACCACTTTCCCATTCGCATGAACTTAAATTTCAATTTACAACTCCAGTTCACCTATTACCCTACAACTCGGTGGAAAATAGATGATAAGAAAAGTCTAGAATTTTGTAATTACGTGGATCGAAGTCTAAACGCTAAAGAGGTACCCAAGTCCGCAGCAGAAATAATTGACTGTGTTGTGGATTCAGTGCAAAAGGGATGCGACAGTAATTTCGTATTAAGAAAACCTGTGTTAAAGAAATCCAGACCTCCACCCCCATGGTGGGACAATCAATGTTCTCATGTGGTACACTGCCGGAAACTTGCGGTAAAGAATTACAAGTTAAATCCAACCTTGGATAATTTCATTACTTGTCAAGAGACTATTGCGCACTCTAAAAGAT